TTATGTTTCCTTTTTTTACTGAAGTGTAATTTGCAATACAGCGAAACACACATATCTTAACGTTACAATGCAATGCATTTTGACAAATGTGAGTACCCCTGAACCCACATCCCTATAGATAGAAGAGACATTGCTATCACCCCACGTGTCCCATGTGATCCGTTTCCTGATTCCTCGAGCCATAGCAGCAGCAAATTAGAAAGGCGGACAGGTGCAGAGATGGCAGTAAGAATGGGCAACCAAGGTAAAAAGACTTGAAAAGATGATTCAAGGAACTCAGAATTCAATAGTTTCTTTCAGGATATCATTGCACAATATTACACAATAGATTGCTCAACTCAACAGGCATCTAATAAGCTCCAACTGTGTACCAGGCCCTCTCAGACTTGACAGAGGATATAAAAACGTGAAATCCAGTACTGCCCAGTTCAGTTTAATAGGAACATATGGTGTGTTAGAACAGAAGGACTGTCAGGCTATCAAGGGCCTTGGTCAACTGAGTAGGTAATGAAGGGCAGGGAGGATGGCCTGAAGGCAGGGAACTCATCTGTCACTAAAGAGAAAAACAGTTAAGTTGCCTGTGCCTCAGTTTCCTCCTCTGTATCATAGGGATAACAGCAGTACTTTTTCAAGGGAATGTTGAAGAGTAAATGGGTCAATATATAGAGTAGTGTTGGATGCATGTTAGCTGTTATTAGCTTGTACGTCAGTACTTGTGCAGCCCCTAGATTTAGTAGCTGCTCAATAAATATTGATGAACAAATGAATTCACGAATGAATAAGTGAGGCTACTGAGTTAAAGGGGGAAAAAGGTTATGTAAAGCATGGGCTCCTTAATAAAGCCTGCATATCAGAAAGAATGTAATGCAAAGTAGTTGAAGAAATAGGTTTGATGTTTAATGTATGTTTCAGATACCTAAGAAATTAACTGTTCATTTCTTACTGCTTCCTGCCATTTTTAACAAGCCCAAGGAAAAGAGATGAAGAGATCACAATGAAATTACAGTATATCTCATACCAAGAGATGGCGAAGGGGCACTGAAACCTAGGAGTTAAGCTCTGTGGTGTGGGAAATGCTGTGATGGCAGCAAACCCTAACCACCACACATTTACCCTGCCCCAAACCAGCTCTGCGGTCTTCTCCTTCCTCAAATTATACTTATTCCAAAAAGGATAAACACAAAATCTGTCTTTAAAAGATGTTAAAGATCATAAAAGTAAAACCAATTTGAAAAAATGCAGAGGCTACTAACAAAAACAGACAGAGCTACAAGAGGACCTGGGGGTGTATCACAGATCTAGGCCTTTATTTTATAGATGAGGAGACTGAGACCCAGAGAAGGAAAGTGAGTTATGACCCACAGTCATAACTTCAAGAGAACAGCCAAGGCAGAGTTGGACCAGGGCACCCAGCATCCCAAACTGGAGCCCAAAGGGGAATGCTCCTTCTTCCCAAAGGACACACAGGAGTGGGAGGAGATTCCAGCAGGTAAGGGTCTGGGGGGCCAGTAGATTGTAATGGGGAGGTAAGAACAGGGGTGGTGGGCGCATGCGGAGGGAAGAAAATTACGCCTCTCTGCACTTTTTATTGGGGTAGGGCTTCAAACAAAGAACTGTCCAGTCCAAAGCTCCTGGGTTTTGCAGGTGAATCCGACTCCTCCTCCGGAGGAAGCACACACAAAGACCAATGCCTTCTCCCAGGTGTTTCCATTTCATCAGGAGTTCACGGGTGGAGGTGGGCAGGCACGGGGAGCCTCACAGGCACCCTCCCTTTAGAGGTTTAGCCCTCTACTGGCAGCAGAGGGGGAAGGGCTCTGCCAAGGAGGCCAGAGGAGTCTTGGCGATCAACGCAGAAGTCGCCATCCTGCCCCCACCACACGAGCACGCGCGCGCGCGCGCACACACACACACACACACAAGCTTTGCTTCTTCCTTCCCCTCCCCCAACGATGGCCAAAGCCAGGTGAGGGGATTGACAACTGGAGGTTCTGTTTCCGAAGGGCTTCTGCGGGAGCTGCTTGCTTCTGCGCACACTCACAGGCACACTTACATACACACGCACGGACGCGCGCACACAGACAATCACAAATACGCACACACTCCTATGCACACACTTGGCACCCACAAGAGGCCGGGCCGCGCCCGCTGCATCTCTGCTGCAGCCCCGGGGAAACGACAGGCAGCAACATGAATGAAATCTGCCCAGAAAGACTGCATTTCAGCTCCAACCACGCAACCTCCAGCCAAACCGCCGAATATGCAACAAAGTTTTATTTCGCTTTTGGAGTCTCCAGTTACGCTTCTACCATTTCCTGTGGAAAACTGAAGCTTTGAAGTGTCTAGCTCCGGCTTTCGCAGACAGGCAGGACCGCCAGCTGGAGCTCTCCAAAACAAGAGCCCCGGGCCCCACCCCTCCGCCACCAGAACTGCAGGTTCAAACCCACCCAGCTCCGGCCTTCAAAACAAGGGGTGCGGGAAGGAATGACAGAACCTGCTGGAAACGACCTCTTAAACTGACAGTCCCTTCGGAGCCCCGCCCCACTCCCATCCTGACCGGGTCCCTTGTGGCGCTCCTTAAGCCAAGTGGTGACGCCTGCACCTCCTAGCCAACCGACAGAGGCAAGAGGTCGGAATCTGGGGAGTCTGCCCATTGCGCAGCAGCCACCAGCTGTGAGCTCTGGCCCTCAAAAACTGACCCGGAAAAAACTCGGGACCTATAAGGCTTCCCGCTTATAGGTCCCACCTCTCCCTGACTGTTTCTAGGCCGAGCGAGCTCTCAAACATTCTGCCTTTACGGCCGCAGGGCCCTGCCTTCCTGCGCTCACCGACGGTGTCCCCGAGAGCTTGGGGAAGTATGCTAACTGGGCGGCGAGGGCGGAATGCGCCTCCTCCTGAGTTCCAAGGAGCCAAACTCCTGCGCCCGGGTATGTGGCATCTTCAAGGTCAAAAATAAATTTAAATAAATAAAATGTTTAAAATGAAAAAACAACAACGAAACACAGGGCTCTGGCAGAAATATGTACTAGGCGCAAATGATCGCACACCTGTGCCTCCAAAGTGATGCTGGGTTCTTCCCACCGCCTGCCTGAGGCAGCCGCTGTCCCGCCCCGAATCCGGGGCGGAACCGCGCCCTCTCGGACTTGGGACCCTACCAGCGGCGTAAAGTACGCGGATCCCGAAAGCAGGAGGGACCAGGGGTGTTTCTAGCCGCCTCCAGCTCGGCGGTTCCCTCGGAGGCTTAAGACAGCAGCGGGCAGCCGGAAGGGCGCGGGAGGGGGCCGGGAGGCAAACTTACGACGAGAGTTGGCCCGGTTGGGTGGGAGGGGGCAGCACCCGCGCAGCCACTTACCGCTGGCGTTCTTCCCGCAGATGAGGTGCTGGTAGGGCTGCAGCAGCCCCCAGATCTCGGAGTCGTTGTTGACCGTGTGCTCCAGCGTCTCCACGGTGAACTTGGGCGCCTCGTGGAGCGCGTGGTGGTGGTGATGGTGGTGGTTGGCGGCGGCTGCCGGTGGGGCTGCGGCGGCGGCAGCGGCGGCCGGCGGGGCGCAACAGCTGCTGCCCCCGCTGGCGCTGCTGGCTGCGCTGCAGGCGCCGCCGCTCGCCGCTCCCCCTCCCGGCGCCTCCCGCTCCTTATCCGCCACGGGGGCTGCTCCGGGGCCCGAGCCCTGACCCGGGCCGGAGCTGGAGCTGGAGCCCGGGCCCGGGCCGCTGCAGCTCCTGGGCAGCCCGGAGGCCACGACCCGCGCGTAGATGTCCCGGAAAAGGCTCTCCATGCAGGCCGTCAGGTAGATGGCTGCGTGCTCGTGGATGCGCAGCGCCACGCGGCTGTCCACCATCCAGCGGTACACGCGGCCCACGGAGAAGGTGAGGCCGCAGCGCGCCGATTTGCCGCGGCCCAGGCGGTCGCCACCGGCACTGCTCATGTTGTAGAGGGACAGCGCGGCCAGCGCGGCCGCCGTGCAGTGAGCCGCTAGGCCCCAGGACAGCACGATCTCCATGGCGCTCTGGATCTCGTACTTGGTGCACTTAGCGAAGCGCAGGCTCAGGCGCTGCGCCTCTTTGGCGATGCGTACCAGCGCCCGGCTCACCAGCGTCGACAGCTTGGCCAGCGCGTCTTTGGGTAGGCCGCCGGGGGGCACCGAGCCTGCCCGGGGATCCCGCGAGCGCAGTAGCAGCGCCTCCAGCTCCTGGAGGGTCCAGGGGACCTCGTCGAGGTCCGGCAGCAGCCGCGAGCAATGCTGGCCGGCGCAGTCCAGCCCCTCGGAGTCTTCCACCAGGGCAGTGTTGACAGTGTCAAAGCTGTTGTGCCGGCTGTGCATGGAGTCAGCTAGAGGCGGCCAGCAGCTCCCGCCATACGGGGACGCCGGGTGCGAGTCGGAACAGCACAGGGACAAGTTGGAGGAGCGCACCGAGTCCGCCGCGCCACCATAACCCGAGTCCAGCGTCAGATCCTCCAGCGTCCGAACCACGGGTTTCTTACCTCTCCTGGCCATCGCTGCGCCACTTCATGCTGCGGCCGCCGGGGAGCCGAGGGGAAGCAGCAGCGAGGAAAAGCGGGCGCCGGGGCGCAGGAAGAATCGAGTCCGCGCCGCCTCGGCTCACTTTTCCACCAGACGCTACTACCTACTGTTACTACTTTCGGATGCCTCCCCGAGCCGTCGCCGCTGCAATACGCAGGGCAGAGCAGAGAGTCATCTTCCAGAGCCCGGGCCGGAGCTGGGACACGCTAAGGAGCGAGCCAGGCCGGGGGAGAAGCTCACGCCGGACTCGTCCCTTTCTTCCAAAATAAAATAAAACTGTCTGACCCGCTCCCCACCGGGCCGGGTTGGGCGCAGAAACCACTGGGCGCCGCCTCGGTGTTCGTAGGACGGAAATCGACCCAGATGCCCGCGGCAGCACCTCTGCCGGCAGCTGGCTCTCGGCTCTCGGCTCCCCGGCTCCCGGTTCCCGGCCCGGGGTTCGCTCGGCGCTCGCCCGCCCGGCACTGAAGCGCAGCAACGACCGCGACAGCTGCAAACCCTACAAAACCCCGCAAGCCCCGGGCAGCCCGAGGGGGCGGGCGTATGTAAAGCAGGGCCGGCGGAGAGCCAATGGGATTGGAGGATGCTAATTACCTCTTTTTTTTATTCCCCAGCTCCACGCAGCCCCGCCCCTCATACACGCCCCCGGCCCGTGACGGAGGCTCCATGAAGTGGGGAGTCAGGGCGTGAGAATTGGGGGACCTGTGGGAGCGTAGAGACGCAGATGCTACCCCACCCCTCCTCTGCTGTCCCTGACCTTGAGCCTTCGGCTTTGATACCAGAACAGGAGAATGGTAGGTTGGGCATGTGACCCACCCACCCACCCACCCACCGAGTTGTGCTCCCCCCAGCGGTTCACAAAGTGTCTGCCTGGGGTCGCTTTCTGCCCCTGCGTTTCGGATTTCACTTTCCTTTTTCTTTCTCTAGTACACAAAGCATATTTTCTCTCCCTCTCCAGCCTCCCCCACCTTCGGGTCCCCAAACCAATTAATACGGTCCTCTTTCAGCCCCAGTTTGCCCCAGAGCGGAGGGAACTAAGAAACCAGGCAAGCAGAGGGATCAGGGAAGTGGACATCACTGGAAGGCTGAGTCTCTGGACGTTAGCCGTCTGCCACCAGCACTCATTAACTACGTTCCTTCAGTAGCAAGGAGGACGCTGAGCCCATCCTTCAAATGCCTGGGGGTACACTGGAGGGAAGGCTTATGTCCCACTTTGACGTTCTGGTGGGTAATGGTCCAGAGAGCTCAGCTTTAAAAAGGATAAATTTGCACAGAGGAGAGTTTTCTTTTTTGAATAAAGAATGGTATACATGCATGACTTAGTTGCATTTATGTCCAGTGGCATTGTCTTATTTATTTGCCCCCATCCACCAGGGCAGAAACCATATCTTATTCACCTGGGGATCACCAGCTCCCACTGTCTCTGCCTGTAGGGGACTCTCCTCTGAGTTTCCAGCTTAGAAGTGCCGTTCTACAAGAAGGTAGCCCATATCCTTCATGTTAAAAAACAAAATTCAACTGAGTAGATTTTAAAGCTCTTTATTGGCTTTATTAAACAATTCACGAATCTGGCAGTATCCAATCTAGCAGATAGAAGGGAGCTTGGAGGAGCTGTACAAAATGAAAGACTTTTCATAGACACAATGGAGAAGGAACAAGGAATTTATACTAGGTTAAAAAGCAGGTTGCGTATTGCAAGGTTACTTTCCTCTAGGAGATGGCAGGGGTCTATAAGGCAGATTACCTAACTACTGCTGATCAGGTGATTCCTGATTGACTAGTTTAAGATTCCATTTCTGGGAGAGCCAAAACTGTAATTAAGTGTCTCAGTTTGGTGAAGTGGAGCTTAGCATAAGTGACTCCATTTGGGGCCTGGTATCTTGTTAACACTCAATACTGTCCTGGGTGTTTCAGCTGCCTCCCCCACTTCCGAAGCTGTTGATTTCTGGCCCCTTGTAACACTAGGTTACTACAGTCTGCCTACTTGTTAGATTCCACACTGAACTAGGGGTTCCCCATGCATAGGCCTGACACAGAGTAGTCAGTCAGTAAATATCTGTCGTAAATGCATGAAAGGAAAGAAGGACATGATTTTGAACTGTTGGTTTGATGTTCAACAATGGATTTTGCCAGATAACCCAGGAGATTGTCTGATGTTTCTCATCTCTGTCAGCCCAAATCCACCATCACCCATCCCTTCACCCCAGTATACTACCATCACCCTGAAGCTATCATCCTAATGCATATGCTCATCACCTCTCTCTATTGACTATTATAATATTCTACCAACTGGTCTCCTCTCCTGCCTCTTCCTTCTCCAAACCATCCAGCCCGAGAATCTTCCAAAAGCCCAATTCTCATCTTGTCATTTCTGTCTTGAAAAAAATTCAAATGTTCCCATTTGCCTTCCAAATAAATAAAGTTTATACTGATTAGTGGCCTTCAGGATCTCCACACTTTGTTCCCAGACTTTTTCCATAACATTCCAAACCTTTTAAAAGGGATTGTGATGGTTAATTTTATGTGTCCATTTGAATGGGCCACAGGTGCCCAGATTAAACATAGTTTCTGGGTATGTCTGTGAGGGTGTCTCCAGGTGGGATTAGGATTTGAATCAATGGACTCAGTAAATTGCCCTCCCAAATGTGGTTGAGCATCATCCAATCTGCGAGGGACTGAATAAAACAAAAGGTGGAGGCAGGAGGAATTCATCACTCCCCACCCCCATCACGGACTGAACTGGGACATCTCATCTTCTCCAGCCCTCAGACTGGAATTTACATCACCTGCTCCCCTGGTTCTCAGGTCTTTGGACTTGGACTGAATTATACCAGCAGCTTTCCTGGGCCTCCAGCTTGCAGACATCAGATCGTGAGACTTCTCATTCTCCATAATTATATGAACCAATTCCTCATAGTAAGTCTTTTTCTATATGTATTTTTCATATACCATCGAATACAAGGATACACAGTCTTTAATGATCTGAACCCTGCTTCCCCCTCTAGGCTCTCCGTCATCACCCTACCCTCCTGAACACATATTCATAGTCACATAAACACACAGATGCACTCCCACACCCACACAGATACCTGCACACACATGAACACACAGACACACACACACACGCTTATGTTCTAGCCATACTGAAATCACTTGCTGGTTTTCCAAGTTAACATGTTGTCCCTTGCATCCGATAAGTCTTTGCAGATGTTCTTTCCTTTGCTCACTTTGCTCAAAGACCTTGTCTTGCTCTTCTGAACCTGGCAAACCTCATCCTCTAAGATTCAGCTCCAAGGTTACCACCACAGTGAAGTTCTCCCTGATGTTGCTTCCTGTCCACCCAGCCCAGACCTGGGAGGGTGTCTCCATCTCTGTTGTTTGGGATTTGTTCCCAGAGCCTTTTCTCTTCTCTGTGTGTTTCCCTGGTGATCTCGTCCACTTGTATGCCTTCAGTTCCCACCTATGTGCCGATGATGCTTGAGTGATGACCACTCAGAGTGTAAGCAGCAAGAGAACCCAAAAAAAGCTCATGCACAGGGAAGAAAAGAGACTGAAAGCAATGGGCTTAACATTGATTGATTTACTTTTTTGATGGCACCAGGTCAACTTGGGTTCCATTACTGCCTCTGCCAGTTTTCCAATCATGTATATTCAATCGCTTTTATAGTCTCTTCCTTTGCCTTTGAAATGCACAAATAATCACACCCATCTTTTTGGGTTGCTGGGGGGTTAAATGAGATTTTTCTGTATATAGGATTTAGCACAGTGTTCCACACATGATAATAACCCTATACATGTCTGTTATTATCTTATACATTTTCCTATTTTCTGTAATAAACACATTTTTATAGAGTCAGAAAAAAATGACAAATGTTACATATAAAATCCAAATGATCCTGCAGGGCTGGGCTGAAATGCCACCTTGTCTAGGAGGCTTTGCCATATCTTAGTAGACATGCTGTTGCCTGTTGTGCTACAGATGTGCAGATGGCTCCTCTCCCCTTTCAGAAGTCACACTCCTTGAAAGCCAGGCCTTGCCCCCAACACAGTTCCAGTACTAATGAGCATGTCCCTTAGTTAGTTTTATGGATAAACCAAAGCATATGTCTGTTTAGTTTACTGAAATAGATCATTAATGATAATGCTAAGTGACTGAGGGCAAGTGAGCCCAAGCACTGAGAATAATAAACACACCAACCATGTGTTCAATATTAGCCCCATACTATGAGAAAATTTGGCATCTGCAAAAAAGTCTGAAGAGAATTCAAATCATCCCAAATTCCATCTTACAGAGATCAACATTAATGATTTGTGTTTCCTTCAAGTCTTTCTAATTTTTTCCCATCTTCTTCTTTTAACATATATATTTTAACAGAGTTGGAATTATTCTGTAAATCATTTTGCATTTTGACTTTTTCCTTAAGAAGTTTTCTCAAACTTGATACTATAATCATTTCCCCATGCTAGTAAATATTCATCCAAAACATTCTTTTTTGTCACTATGAAATATTCCAACATATGTTTATACCTTAACTGGTGGGTTGATTCCCTATTTGGTTGTTAACTGGTGTAAGTAATGCTGGGATGAACCTCTTTGTACATAAATAACTCTCTTCTTCAAAACTAGAAGTTTTATCTATGTTATCCCCGGAGAAATGCAGATCAACAATAAACATATACTAAAGATTTTTTGAAAACAGAAATAAATTACTGGGGTTATTTTGCCTATCAGATTAGCAAAGATTTACAAAGTCAGTCGTGATGAATGTGTGTCACAATGGGACATAAATTGGGGCAATCTTTTGGGAGGGCAGTTTGTCAATATGTATCAAAATGTCAGTGTGCACTCCTTGGGACTTCCCAGAAGTCATATCTTCTGATATTATCTAAGGTGATCCTTGTAAATTTTTCAAAAGTATACACAATGTTCTTTGTAATGCTGCTTTAACACAGGACTTTGGGAAACAACCTAAATGTCTTTCAATAAGGCCTGATGAAATGAATTATATTAATTCATACAAGGAAATATTTAGCAGTTGCAAAGAATAATGATGGTGATCTTTATTTCCACAGCATATTGGCGAGTGAAGAAGTTTTTAAAAATAGGTTTTGGAATTGCACATATAATATGATCCCATTTATGTAAAATACTTTATGTAGAGCTAAATATGTATATAAATATGTAAACTTGCCTCAAAGGGTGGAAATAATAGCTATAACTAGTTTGTTGGATTTCTGGTGATTTTTTTTTAAAGGAGCTTTATTGATTCTAGTTCTATCCCTGATGTTTTTTTCTTTTTCTTTTGTTTTCTTACGATCTTTTTTTAACTTTCTTCTTCATACTTCTGAACTTTTTACAATAAATAGGGATCATTTTTACCAGAGCCAGAAAGCTATTTTCCGAAGAAAATTATATAATTTTCTGCCCATTATTCTGAAGCCTACCTGTCAATCAAAGTATTAATATAATCTTTCGTCCTTCAGCATTCTAGAAACCAAGCAGCAAGCATAGCAACCAACCCGACAACCATAATGTGAGCCGGCCTCATTTAGCTAGGGCCACACGCGTCGAGAGCTTCGTCCCGTGCTTTCTATGCGTCTACTGTGCAGGAGCAAACAGGGCCGCTTGGGTTTGAAGCCTGGCTTCACTACTTCCTAGCTATGTAATCCTGAGCAAGTTTCTTAGCCTCTCTGTGCCTCTCCCCTCCGTTCTTCATCTTTAATTGGGGATAATAACAATACCTTGACCGGTTGGCTGTGAGGACTAAATGAGATCATTAGAACAGTGTCTGGCCAGCACTGTAAATGCTCAACTAGGGTTGGTTACTTCTATTATGGGTCAGGCACAGTGCTGCTTGTTGGGGGCAATGGGGACTCAGCTTTCCTTCTGGGTCCTGCCCTTGTTGAGCTTTAGTTGAAAGACAGATGTTAATAAAAGCTGCAAGTACAATGAGTTTCAGGAAAGAGGAAGTTCAAGAATTACACACACAAATTAAACAGATTGTGTATGTTTCACTGCACCATTTCTGAGCAAGCCCCTGGCAAATACCAGCTGTTTCCTGGATGTACAGTCAGTGTGTATAAAGCTCTGCAATGAGCCCTTTGCCATGTGAGTGTCTTTGTGAGTGGAAGACTCTATCACTAGGTAGAAGACTACTGATGAGTCCAACCCAATTTCAATCTGCTCCACATCAGAAAGGGACGTATGTGCCTACTTCTTCTGAACTTTGTCCTGAAAGAAAGAATTACAGAGTCAACATAATGGCTTGCTCATTTGCAGAGCAGATAGGTCACACAATTCAAGGAGCTATAAAGAGGTAACTTTTAAGCAAGGGGTAGAGTTGCACCTCTTAATACAAGGCAGCTCTGAGAGCAGATCCCAGTGCAAGCATGACCCTCATGGCAGTGAGTCTTCATGTCTTAGGGTCATACATCCTTTGATAAACGGGTAGGGCTGCATGCGTGTGCATAAACATTATTTGTATTCAACTGGTATACAATATCTGGGGTTCACTGACCCCCAAGTTTACACCTGTAACTGTCCTAATTGTCAATTAATATGACAATCATTATAAACTCTAACCCTTACTGAGAATGTACTTTGTGCCAGACAACTGTTCTATGCACCGTTCATGTACCTTCCCCACAGAATCCCCACTTTATAGATGAGAAAGTTGAGGTGCAAGGAAGCTGAGCAACTTACCCAAAGTCAAAGAGCTACGAAATGTGGACATAGAATTTTAACCCAGACATTCCAACTCCATTCCACTTCCTGAATCAGTACCACGGGGCTGTGATAGGGGACATTTTGTATGCCAAGGGAGTTCTGAGGAGGGGATCCTAACCCACAGTGGATGAGTCAGAGATGGATTTCTGGAAGAAGTGACACAGATGGTCAGACTTTAAGAACGAGTAGGAACTTACCCACTATGGGAAATATTCCCGAAAAGCAGAAATGGCACATACAAGGGTCCCAGGGCAAAAGAGGACTCAGTCGTTTGGAGGAACTGGCAGAAGGTCAGTGTTGCTGAGCTCAGAGGCAGAAAAAGGGATTTGTAAAATGAGACGGAGAAGGAAGGCACAGGCCAGCATAAAGTCCCAGAGGGTATTTTACGGAGTTTGGACTTAATCCTGAACCAATTTCAGACCACGGTTGGCCAATATTCCCTGCCTCCCTGAAATCCAAAAATCAGTAGACCTACAAGATTAACTATGAGAAGGAAGGCAGGGCCACAATCATTCAGAACCAATTCGCCTTACGCCCATAAGAGCCCAGAGATTTTAGGTAAAGCTGTAAATGGCCTTACCCAAGCCAAAGGTTTTCCCTTTTCTCAGCTCCATAAACCCCTTGCCCTTCTTCCTTAGGAGCCAGGTGATACTGTAGGGTCCTGTGTGCAAAGCCCAGTGGCAGCCCTATCTGTGATGGCTCTTGACTTCCAGCTGCAAAACTGGGAAATATAATGCTTACCTCAAACTGTTAGAGTTAGGAGAGTTCATTAACATAAGGTACGTAATATGCCTGGCTTGTCTGTTTGAGAGCAACTGGTCACTCATCACTGAGAAGAGGAAAAGAAAATACACAAACAATCCTGTATCAGTCTGGATATAGTAGGTTATGCTTCAGTAACAAACAGTCCCCAAATCTCAGCAGGCTAAAACAGCAAATGTTTCTTTCTTGCTCAGGCTCCAGTGTGCAATGTGGGTCGATAGGGTTGGCTACACTACTTACAGTGTTCACTTAGGGACCCAGGCTGCTGGAAGCACCATCTCAACACATGCTTCCAAAATTGATGAGGCAGGAAAAGGGGTGAGGACATAAGAGTAACACTCTTGACTTTCAAAGTTTTCACCTGGAAGTTACACACACATCACTTCCGCCCATGTTTCATTGACTAACACCATTCATATGACTGCATCTAATTGCAAAAGAACTTGAAAGCATAATCTCACATGTACCCAGAAGGGAAACTGGAATATTTGTGAACAATCATAATGGCTACCACAAATGCAGCTTTTGCTCTACGAGGAGTGTTATTCCATAGGAGGACAGTTTAATTGACAGACTCTGGAGGAGATGCTGATCTTTCCAAGTTCATTATTTGCAAGCAATCTGGTCTGTTAAAATCTGAGAATGTTGGTGACAAGCCCTTAGAGAGCAGTAAGAAAATAGGAAATTGCTTCTCGAGTTTCTGGACCCTCTGATGGCAGTGTTAAATGAGATGGCAAATGAAAACTGCTCCAGAACACTTTCTACCACCCAACCCACTGGGCTCTCAAGGCTTAGCCAAAACTTGACTTCCCTGGGGGGGCCTTAGCTGACCACCAGTACCCCTAGGCTAGGTCAAGTTCCCCTATTATCAGCTCTCATAGCACATTTACTTCTCCTTCAGAGCGTGTGCCCTAATTTTAATTATATATTCACCTTACTATTTGCTTAATGTCTTTCATTGCAACTAGACTATATGATCCAGAGGGTGTGGACCTATTTGTCTTGCTCACTTCTGTAAACCACATTACCTATTACATAGTGGGTACTCAAGAAATGCTTATTGGATTGGATGGATAGGTGTCTTAGCACAGAATCTGCCCCCCAAATGATATTACTGTTATTTTTATTTTCTACCTGGAAGTCTCCATCTCCTAACCAGATTATCTGATGGGGGATCTCCAGGCAGTGACTAGAAAAAATGAGCCAGCCCCTTCTCCCCAGTGGCTTATTGGTGCATTAAAGTCCTCTACTAAAATGTAAACTCCTCAAGGAAAGGATCATTGCTATATCCCCAGCAGCTAGGAAAGTGCCTAGTACTTGCTAGGCACTCAATACATGTTTGTTGATTGGATGAATCAATGAATGGGTGGAAACTACACCATAATCCAAGCTAAGCACCTGGAAGAAGGAATTAGAACTCATTTCTTTCGTGTCTTCTCTTTTCAGATCCCACCCAAGTGAGCCAATGAGGATTACTGTTGGGATCCTTACTGTTGGGATCCAAGGCCAGGTATCAATCAACTATTCCTTGAGTAATTCTATCTTTCTCCTTGTAGAATTATAAAAATCGAGAGATACAGTGCCTGTCCATTAGGAAATTCTGCTCTGGGTGGGGAGTCTAGCCAGGAAACAGAAATACTCTAGATGTTTCAATCTGAAGGAATCTAATGCAAGGAATCAGTTCCAGAGAGGATGGGAGAGCTGAGGAGCTAAATGGGACAGGAAGGAGACAAGGGGGAAAGTAGCATCAGCAAGAAGCTTCTGCCATGCTCAGGGCTGGAAGGACAGAGAGAAGATGGTGTTACCAGAGCCCAGAAGCCAAGCCGTCTGTTAGGATCTAGAGCTGCAGTGGAGACCAAGCAGGAGAGCTAGCTCCATGTTGGGAGGGGCTGCCCAGCAGGATCTGGGCTCATGGATGAGACACAGCTGCTGCCAGGAACACGACCTGTAGCAGACAGAGAAGAACAGAGAAGCCCCGGGCTCACCCCTCCTTCTGCCCCACATCTTCTGCCAGTGTCTCCCGCTGGCCAAACCCACCAAGAAGTTGGAGGGTGAGGGAGTCCGGGAAAGGTAGTTCCTGTGATACAAACTAGATGGATATGAGCACAAACAAGCAAAGGACCAACTCAGGAAGATAAAGATGATATTTCAAGACATGTATCTATTATGGCATGTCCCCGAGTAATACTGCAAACTTTCAGAGGAGGAAGCTTCGATTCTGTCCCCTCTTCATTCCTACTGTTCTTACTCTGGTAGAATTGTTCATCACCTCCTATTGGGATGGTTCCCAAAAGCCCCTCGCTTGGTCTCCCCAGTGACAGTCTCACTTTCCCATCTGGACTACTCTGCTGCCTGGGTCATTTTTCATAAGCAGCTCCCCTCACCATCAGAAGGGAGGAATGCTGGTCCCTGTCCAGTCTTATACGTTGTCATCTTCCCTGGTTAACTGCCCCTACACTCCCTACAAACTAATTCTGGTTTTCTTAAATACAGTGTCTTTACTCATGCTGTTCCCCCTATTGTACTCCTATGGATCCTTCAAAGCCCATCCCAAATGGTACCACTGTAGTAAGTACTACACTCCTCCTGTCCTCCTGCCCGATAGAACTAGCCTCTCTCTTTGCTTTTGCTTCTTTAAAACATTGACTATGTATCTCCATTACAGCCCTTATCAATAATTCTTAGCCATAATCAATATCACGGTCAGCAGCTACAGCAGCCTCCTGCTCTTTGTGCAATAGCGTGGTAGTTAAGAGTGTGGACTTGAGCGAAATAAGCCAGACACAGAGAGACAAATACTGTACGATATCACTTATATGTGGAATCTAAACAATACAACAAACTAGTGAATAAAACAGAAAAGAAGCAGACTCACAGATATAGAAAACAAACTAGTGGTTACCAGTGGGGAAAGGGAAGGGGGGAGGGGCAAGATAGGGGTAGGGGGAACAAAAGGGTTGTTATGGGATTATATGAAATCATGTGTGTGAAACTTTTGAAAATTGTAAAGCACTATAAAATTTAAAGAATCGTTCATTCAATTAAAAAAAAGAGAGTGTGGACTTGAGGTCATAAAGACCCACGTTTGAGTACAAGTGGCTGGCCATGTGATTTTAGTAAGTTTTTATTTTTTATTTTTATTTTATTTTGGCCATGCAGCACAGCTTGCAGGATCTTAGTTCCCCAACCAGGGATTGAACCCGGGCCACAGCAGTGAAAGCACCAAGTCTTAACCACTGGACCTCCAGGGAATCCCCTTTAGTAAGATTTTAATCTCTGAATTTCTATCTGTTAATCTTTTACGTAGGGAAAATCATAATGTCTCAGAACTTCATAGGGTTTTAGCTACGTGAGACAACGCACACTTAACACAGTGTCTGGCATGTGGGAAGGCTCCAATAAATACCAGCTAATCCTAATCTTTCAACAAAAAAATTGAGATCATATTGCATATACTGTTTTGTAAACTACATTTTTCCTTAAAATATATCATTTCTTCCTGTCCTTAAATGTTTTCTTACATTTTTCCAACTTTTTATTTTGAAAAATTTCAAACAGACAGAAATGTTGATAGATAAAATAAACATCCTATTACCCTTCACCCAGATTCACCATTGCTTTCTCTCTCTGTGAGATATTTATGGATATATATATGATGTGTGTGTGTGTGTGTGTGTGTGTGTGTGTATGGTGTGTTATGTTCTTTTTTTCCTGAACCATTTGAAAGTAAGCTGTAAACATCATGGCATTTCAGCATGTATCCTACATTTTCCTACAAAGAGCTGTAGGACCATTATCACACTCAAGAAATGACACTGATAAAATAACATCATCTAAGTCATATTTCAATTGTTCCCCAAATGCCCTTTTAGTGGGTCTTTATGTCATTTGATGACTATGTAGAATTCTACCTAATGGATGTCCAGTAATTTGTTCAATGAATCTATTGTTAGACCTTTAAGTTCTTTCCAGCATTGCACAATTATATCCAGATCAGAAGAAAAGTCTTTGTAGCAGCTTTTTCTTTATATATTTGACCTCTCATTTCCTTGGGGAAAATGCCTACCATGGAGTTTGGCACAAGGCAATGTAGCATTCTAAGAGCTTAATGCACAGTGCCAAATTGCCCTCCAAGAAGATTGTACCAATTTATACCCCCCAGCAGTGTACAAGAGTGCCTGTCTCACTCCTTTGATACCACTGGCTATTATCATTTTTGTATTTATCAATTTAATACGAGAAATAATAACTAGCATTTATATACCACTCCTGGTGTGCCAGGCACTATTACAATTGTATGATATCAATGAGGAGACTGAGGCAGCAACCCAGGCAGCCTGAATCCAAAGACTGTGCCACTATTTGCTTTATGCTCTTACCTTTCAATATAGAGTCTAACATTTACTTAATCACCCCAGAAGATGAATTTTTTCACTTGTTTGTCTTTTATATCTTTGCCCATAAGAATTCCCTGTTTATGTCATTTCTCTTTTTGGAGTGGGGAGGGAGCATCCTAAGATGTTTGTCTTTTTCCTAATGACTTTTAGGAACCACTTACAGAATAAAAATACTCTCTCTGTCATATACACTGCAGGTAATGCTCCATGGCTTGCCATTTGTATTTATTTATTTGTTTGTTTAGCATAAGATTTTAATTTTCTCACTGTTAAAACTGTCAATTCTTTTTTTTTTTTTTTTTTTTTTTTGCGGTACGCGGGCCTCTCACTGCTGTGGCCTCTCCCGTTGCCGAGCACAGGCTCCGGACGCGCAGGCTCAGCGGCCATGGCTCACGGGCCCAACTGCTCTGCAGCATGTGGGATCTTCCCGGACCAGGGCACGAACCCGTGTCCCCTGCATCGGCAGGCAGACTCTCAACCACTGCGCCACCAGGGAAGCCCAAAACTGTCAATTCTTTCATTTAATGTTGGTAAGTTAGAAAAGTCTGCCTTCCTCCCAAGAGGATAAATATTATCCTATCTTACATCTTCACATTTTACTTTTAAATCTTCAACCCATCCCATTTCTCTGTGTCTTTGCCAACACCGGCATTGCCTCATGCCTACCAGGGATAGAAATGGGACACAGTTTGCTGAGAGGTTGGTCCCGGGACATCTCTTACTTCATTAAATCTGGAAATGTCACGTGCAATCCCAAGGAGCAGTGCACCAAAGACAAAATAGGATTGCCATTTCAATCTGTTTCATAAATGAGGTACCTTTTTTCTCTCCTGCTTTTCACCTAAAATATGAAACACTTGACACATGTTTGACAATTAAGACAAAAGCCCTGCTTCCACAGGCTTCTCTGAAGCAGGCTATTGTGTGGAGAGCGGTGGTCGTTGAGGGGAAAGCATGCCGAGAATTCATTTCAATTTGAAAGAACTTTTCAGGGCTTTATTTGTTCCAAGAGTTCCTCAAACATTTTAAATACAGTCCGATGAAGTGTTTCAGGCACTGTTTCAATACCGATTATGTCTTCTCTCCTTGAGCACAATGCTTTGCTTCAATACACATTACAGTTTTCAGCAAAGCTTTGATTTTAACATTAACCAATCCCATTCTTTCTCTCCTTGGCTCTTTGTCCAAATATTGTGGCTGAAACCATTACTCACAAAACGAAACAATTAGTGCATTTCCAAATACACTTCAGGAGAAATACAGCAGCCCCATGGCCCAAGTAACTATTCGGTGCCTGCAGTAGATAATCGGTCAATGTTTGCTTAAGTAAATTAGTGAAAATGTGCATGGGGTCCAGGAAAAGAAGAATAGCTATTAAGTCTATAATGAACAAAGGGTGGCATACTCTGAAATTTTTGCAGGGGAGCTTAAACCTTTAAAATTACAACTTTAATTCATTTACTCATTTAGCTAATAAGAGAATTTTCCAGTGTGTATTCCATAAAACATTAGCCCTATGAAATGCAGAGCAAAAAAAAAGGAGTTTAAAAGTAAGAGACCCATCCTCCCCCTCTTAGAGACTGATGGTGTACACTTGCATATTAAAGGCTCTGTCTATTCCCGCAGCATAGAAACACATTTAAATTAATTTAAACTCCATAAGGGCATAAGTCAGGTCTGTTGTGCCCATTAATGTGTCACAAGAGCTTCACATACTGCTGTTAGATATTTATTGAATTCTTTATCTGTTGCTGATAAAGAATTACCCTCAAAACTTAGTGGTTTAAAACAACAAACAGCTATTAGCTCACAGTTGTGCATCAGGAACCCAGGCACAGTTTAGATGGGTCCTTAGCTCAGGGTCTCCCAGGCTGCAATCAATGTGTTGGCTGGGCTGCAGTCATCTCAAGCCTCGTTTGGGGAGGACCCACTTTCAAGATTAGTTACAGCTGTTGAAAGCCTGCAGGTCCTAACTGGCTATTGGCTGGAGGCTTCAGTTCTTTGCATGTGGGCAGCTCACAACATGACAGCTGGCTTCTCTCTGAGCAAAAGATCAAGATACCCAGGACAGAAGCCACAGTCATTTTATAACCTAACATCAGAATTGACATCCACCACTTCAGTCATATTCTGTTTGTTAGATGTGTCAATAAATCCAAACTACACCCCAGGGGAGAGGCTTACACAGGGTGTAATTATTGGTAGATGGGGGTCACTGACCAGCTTAGAGGCTGCCTACCACAAAGAATGACTGAAAGAACCCAGCATTTTCCACACTTATTTGACCTCCTAACTTTTTTCAAGTAATAGCTTTTAACTTAGAAAAACACTTCAGGAAACATGCAAAACTAATATGTATTGAGTGCTAGGTCCTAAGGCATAAGAATATATAAGACAATTCATTTTTAAATTTATTCCTTTTAAAAATATATGTTTTGAGTATGTAGCACTGCCTCCTTGAAGAGCTCAGATTTAGCTCATATTTGAGGAGTCTCTGAGAATGCATCATCCTAGAAGAAGCAGGCTTAATTGATCAGCAGTACAGATTCCAACCAAAAAAGATGGGGAAGGATTCTGTCATGTTGTAGCCTTCTGACTGACTAGCATGTGCCCTCCCTCATGTGCCTTCTTGATGGAGCACTGAACATGACCTTACCTTGGCTGGTGGGATGCTCCCACCAGGATTTTGAATTCTAAATGAGTCACATAAAGTGCAAAGCTAGTGAGCAAGTGTTCATGGTAGAAGTGGTATTGGAACTGTCAGAGTCATCAAAGCTGATGACAAATATAAAAATTCTCAATCTGGGTGCTTTGTAGAATTGTATTTTCTCATCCTGTAAAAGATTAGGCCTCCCTTGCTTTGGTCAGTTAGATGTGAGGGAAAGTAGCATGTGCTACATCAGAAAGAAGCTTTAAGAGCTGTTAGGTTGGCTAGCTGCAATTGGCTTCATGACTTTCCCTTTTCCAGTTTCTGAGATCATGGAAGCGTGAGGCGTCCGCTGGCCTGGGCCCATGATTGTAGACATATAATGGGAGTGAGAAATGAACCTCTGTCATCTAAGCCATTGAGATGTTGGGGCTGTTTGTCACTGCAGCATAATCTCACTGATACAGTAGTCCAGCAGTGAACATCAGCATTCAGTGTCCAGCAAATGGTAGATTGAGTGTCCAGCAGTGGTGCTGCCAGTGGTAGTAGCTTAACCAGCCATGATATTGGCTGTATTTTTTCTACCTACACTCACTTCCTTCCTGCTTCCTTCCTGCAAGCTACATCCTTCCAATAAATCCCTTTCCTGCATAAATCACTCAGGACAGGTTTCCATGGCTTGCAGCCCCAAACCATGCCTAATACTAGTTAGTTCTGTTTCATGCAATAGGAGTCTATTGAGCCCAGAGTGCCTATCATTGTCTTAACTTCAGGCAAGTTTAAAATTGGAACTCAGTAATGAATAAGACACACCTCATCTCAAGTAACCTACAATCTCTTTAAACAAATAATATGCATACAAGTTGAGAATTAAATGAAACTAATTAAGAAATTTAAAATAAGTCATGTGACCCTGAAGGCACATGGGTGGGTTCTTTACCTAGAAATGTGCAGAAGAAACACACAGATAAAAAAGAGATAGGGGGCTTCCCTGGTGGCGCAGTGGTTGAGAGTCCGCCTGCCGATGCAGGGGACACAGGTTCGTGCCCCAGTCCGGGAAGATCCCACATGCCGCGGAGCGGCTGGGCCCGTGAGCCATGGCCGCTGAGCCTGCGCGTCCGGAGCCTGTGCTCTGCAATGGGAGAGGTCACAACAGTGAAAGGCCCGCGTACCGAAGAAAAAAAAAAAAAGAGATATGGCATGTATATTTTAATCTCTTCGTACTGCACTTTACTTGCCAAAATTTGTCTTTTGATTTGAGCAATATTTTCTTGACACAGGAAATATGATTATTACAACAGTACCTGGCACACAGGAAGCAGTGAGTATATATTTGTTGAATGATTCACTGAATGAATGTGATCAGGGGCACGTAAGCTTTAGATTCAGTGACTTAGGGTTTGAGTCTTGCCTCTAACATTTATTAGCTGTGTGCTGCTGTACACGTTCCTTATGGTTACTGAGCCTTGGAACAGAGACACCTCACCACAAAGATGGAGATGCTATTATTGGTCTCCCAGGATTGTTGGCAGAATTGAATATATGTGACGGCATATAGGAAACATGCAATAAATGAAATATAGGCATTTAGACACCCACATATATGTACCTATGTGTGTGTATACACTCCTCAGGGTGTATACACATTTCACTTCATTTATTAACTCATGTAGAAATAGTTTTTGAGCATCTACCTCATGGGACACACACCGCTGAGGACATACTTACTGGCGAGCGTGACATAAAGCTCACAAGAAGTAGGATGACAAGGGACGTTCAGCAAGCTAGGAGACTACACTACAGGGAAAGTTTGGGCTGAACTCTTATAAAATCAGCAATCAGAACTTCCAAAGTCCTGGAAGTTCTCCCAAGTCCCACCCTCTATACTTCTCCCAGCTGAGAAAAAAAAATCAAAAGGCAGATGAGGCAAATGCTATAAGTCCCCTCTCCAATATCCATTTCTCTTTTCTCCTTACTCCTAGAAACTTGATATGTTCTTTAGGATTGTCATGTGTCCTGCTGTAAGACCACATTTCCTAACCTCTCCTGCAGCTGAGGGTGGCTGTGGGACTTGGTTCTGGCCTAAGAGATGTCAGCAGGAGCGTGCTAGGCATTTCTGGGAAGGATTTCTTTCCTGATGTAAGTGTCACCTCCTCCTCCCTGTCACCTCCTACTTTAACCAGCCTGGAGCATGAAGGGGAGGTCTGAGTGGAGTGAACATCCTGTGTTCAAGAGGACACCATAGGGAAAAGAAAGCCACCCACCAAAGATGGCAGGGAGGGGAGGTGGAGGAGGGGCCAAGGGGTCCTGATGGCGAAGCCGCCCTACGACCTGAATAAGCCACTATATTAAAGATATATATTGGAACATTACTCAGCCATAAAAAAGAATGAAATAATGCCATTTGCAGCGACATGGATGGACCTAGAGATTGTCATACTGAGTGAAGTAAGTCAGACAGAGCAAGACAAATGTCATATGATATCACTGAATAAGCCACTATTGTTTGGGTCTTCTGTTGGGCAGCAGAATTATGAGCCTTTGATGTTATGTTTATCCATCTGACAAACATTTAATGAGTGCCTCCTATGTGCCAGGCACTATTCTAAGCCCTGGGGATAGAGCAGAGCAAAAAAGACAAAAATACTTGTCTTCAAGGAGCTTACTTTTGGGGTCAAGGGTATAAACAAGACAAGCAGTGAAATATGTTATTACGTTAGTGCACAGCTCTAAGGAGGAAAGTAAACCATGAAAGGAGGATGGAGGCTGTTGGGAGAGGGAGGGTTGCAGTTTAAATGGGGTGACCGGGAAAGTCTTTGGTGAGGAGACTCATTGAATCAAGACCTGCAGGCAGTTAGGGAGCAAGTCATGAGGATACTGAGGGGAAGGATATCCCCACAGATGTGGACCAGCCTTTCAAGTTTGAGGTGGAAAGATGTGTCCTAAGTTAGGGGACTAGCATAGACCCGAGTGCCTGGATGGAGCAAAGTGAGCAGGGTAGGAGGACAGGGGTCTGAGAGGTGACCGTGGGGAGTATGGATGAGGCGATTGTATAGGGCAGGGGTTGGCAAGCCTTTGCTGTAAAGTGCCCTTTGATTTTAGTCTTTGCAGCCCACGTGGTCTTTGCTGCAACAGCTCAACTCTACAAGAAAACAGCCGTACACACTAAGTAAACAAATGGGCGTGGCCACGTTCCCAAACTTTATTTAGGAAAGCAGGCAGCAGGCAGCTGGTTTGGCTGGAGGGTCATAGTTTGCTGATCTAATGCAGGGCCTTGTAGATCAGTATAAGGACCTTGGCTTTTACTAGAAGTAACTGGTTAGCGATTGGTAGGAGCATAGGAGTGACACGATCTGAATTGCATCTTACCAGGATCGCTCTGGGTGTTGAGTAGAGAATAGAAAATAGAGAGTGGGGGGTAAGAGTGAAAGCCTGGAGACCAGTTAAGAGACAACTGCAATAATCCAGGTTTGTGCCACATAAAATGTTTCCTTGTTTTCCAAATTATCGACAAGAGTATGACAACATTACTCAAATGATTTATTCAACCCACCACACCTCATGCACAATTAATGATACCCACCTCCCCTCCAAAGGGGAGGACCCCAAGTGCTTTGCAACCTGACTTGTCAAGCAGAATATGAAGAAGTCCTTATCTAATTGAAAGAGTGGGGGAGATTTTAAACAGGCAACATGCAATTAGCCAAATTAGAATAGACACGGGACAACAAGGCTCACACCTCCTACAAAAATCAAAAACAAAAGCAGCCCAGCCCCAGACTCAGGTGATCTGCAGAGAAGACCTGGGACCAAGGCTTTTTGTTGACTTCGTGATAGAAGGGGTGCATCACAAATATTGAGATTTGGATAGCCAAAAGGAAGAGATATTTTCCCCCTTCTACTGCACATATCAAGCTGGCCCTGGGGTCAGGAAAGTCTCCTGATAATTGGCAGTCATATCTGATTGGGTCTGGCTGAGACAGATGTACTCAATGGCCATCTATTGGTACCAGAGATTTGTTGAGTGGTGGAGTCGGGGGAAGAGGTTGGCAGACACTCTTTTTTTTTTTTTTTAAATTCAAGTCTAGTTGATTTACAATATTGTGGCAATCTCTGCTATACAGCAAAGTGATTCAGTTATACACGTATAGACATTCTTTTTTTAATATTCTTTTCCATTATGATTTATCCCAGGAGATCGGATACACTTCTCTGTGCTATACAGTAGCACCTTGTTGTTTATCCATTCTAAATGTACTAGTTTGCACCTACCAACCCCAAACTCCCAGTCCATCCCTCTCCTGACCCCCTCCCCCTTGGCAACCACAAGTCTGATCTCTCTGGGCAGACACTCTTGCTGCCTCCCCATCACCACTCCTCTCTTCCTTCCACTAAGGGGAATCCTCACCTTTATCCTCTCTGCTCTGAATGGCCAAGTCCCTGTGCAGACCGGGCCCTTCTCTGTCCCAGGGATGACTCTTTATTGGTCTTTGACAGCTGTGGGTTCTTGTTCTCCTTGGTAACTGTGGTGGTCATGAGAATGCATCTCTTAGATCCTCTAATGCAGGGAGCATAACTGGACATCGGCCCACCTGCTGTGCTTGAAAAGCCGTCATTGATTTGGTCATGACTCATGCTTCCCATGGGCTGCTCCCAGCCAATGACAGTATGTGGCAGGGATATTAAGGCAGGCTTGTTCCTGGGAGACACAGGACCCTCCGGCAGGTCACTTCACCTTGAGTGCTCCCCAAAGGTTTTGCCAAACTTTCCTTAGGCTGCGCTGCAGGGTAAGATGCTTTCACCCAACCTTCCTTGCTTCTCTCCCCTCTTCACTCAGGGTCAGACCTGCATTGCTATCTGATGGCTCTCCCAGACTCCAGCTCCCTCCCCATTTTCTCTCACAGGCATTTCCCCTAATAAATTTCTAGCTTGTTTAATCCTATCTCAGCATGTGCTTCTTAGAGAACCTGAACCAACACACCAAGTAACAAAGTGTAGGCATGTGATACAATTTTGGCCAATGCAATGCAAAGTGAAGTTGGGTGGGAGGAGCGGCTTCCAGGAAGCTTGTCTTTGTTCTTAGAAAAGGGATTCAGGGTAGGACAATTTTTTTTCTGTCTTAGCACTAGGGATAGGTCCAGATTTTGTGGAGCATAAAGCTTACATAATTTGAAACACCTTCTTTATGTAAAAGAATACATATACTTTTTATTTTTGAAAATTTCACAAAAGCATATGGCCATTTGAGTACATTGCTAAGCCTTGAAGGGTCCTATGAAAGTGAGGGACACTGAAGCTTAAGTTTCATTAGCTTCATGGCAATCTGCCTCTGCTCTTGATGTTGCCATCAACATGTGATGACTGGAGCTGGGGCAGCTATCCTGGGACCATGAGGGAAGCCAGCCCAAGAGAATGAGCCAACACAACGGAAGGAACACATGCTTGTTGATGTTTCTGAGCTACCTGAGTTTCCAACTCTGGAAGTACCCTATCTCTGCATTTAGGGTTATAAGAGCTAACAAACTAATAAATGTTCTTATTCCGTAAGCCAAATTTAGTTGGGCTTTCTTTTATTTGTAACCCAAAGTGTTTTAACTGATACAGATTTATTTCTGAAAAGGTTTCATCTGCCAACCCCATTCTCTGTTATGCATTAGATGAAGAAGATCGGTCTGGGATAAGAAAAGAAAGGAAAGGCAAGGTGGTAACTGCAGAACAATTGGGTCTGCACAGCTGATGTTTCCTTGGAAAATCCAGCCATTCTTCTAAGATGAGGTGAATGAATGAATGAGTTGCAGAATTCACTTGCCTCTGGGAAAATGGTGAGGGTCCTAAAGAAGAGGAAAATGATCTAGACTTTGGTTGTGACATGGAGCCATGAATTGGTGGAGAGACAACAGGAATGCAGCAATGAGAACTTCGCAAGGGAAAAAGCACTGGCATTGAAACATAGGCCTTCACGGCACACATAAAATCCTCTACCTGGACCAACAATAAAAACTGGTATCTTGGTGGCTGTCAGCTAATAATAGCTAATGACATGTATTGAGCCCCGGGTTTATGTCAGGCACTGTGCTAGCACTTTACACACAGGGTTTCACTTAATCCTCATAGAAAGTTTGTGAGGGTTGTTCCTCCTCCTGTTCTCTGATCCCACCTCCTGCTTCCTTAGAAGAACTGTTATCCCCTTTTACAGATTAGGAAATTGAGGTTCATAAAAGTTGAATAACTTGCCCAAAGTCACATAGTTGTGAAATGATGGAGCCAGAATCAAATCTCAATAATTTGAATCTAGCGCTAGCTTCTTCTTGCCTCATTTTCTTCTATTTCAAGACCTTCCTAATTTTCCTCAAACTTTTAATATAAAAGGCCAGATAGTCAATATTTTCAGCTTCATGGACAAGTCTCTGGTACAATGATTCCACTCTGCCATTGCAGTGCAAAGCTCACCATGACAATGAGTGTAGCTGTGTTCCAATAAAACTTTATTTGCAGAAACAGGCAGTAGGCCTGACTTGGTTTGTGGGCCATATAGTCTGCTGACCTCTGCACTATGTCATCACTCACTTGCTTCTCTTATTAGCTCTCCCATTGCTTCTACCACCTGCTACAACCATGCCCATTCCTGGTGACATACAGAGTCCAGATGACTTCAGTTCAGTTGTGACAGCACAGGAAGATTACTATGAAGCTATTGAAGCTTCAGCTACATCAGGGCACTTGTACAGGCTTCTTCTAAGGCCCTAGGTGGGTCTCTAGCAATTGCAGAGGGAGATATATACAGATATAGATATATTTGATTTGCATAAGAAATATATTTTAACAATACCTCCTTTTCCTCCTACTTCCCCTCACGCAGGAGGCATTGAAATGGTTATGGGCATTTTGGGGGTCTGGCCTAAGAGGAACAATTTAATTTGGTTCCAGGGGTATATTTTTGCGGTTCACAGTCTTATATGTGTGTGGTTAGGCTATTGCCTGCCACCTAGTGTGGGAATGGCTTCCAGAGCACTCCTATGACCCACTGTGGCACCCGTCCATCATCGTAACCTGAAGGTGTAGGGCTAAAGATGACACAGTGCCAGGAAAGTGTCCTACAGAGCCTGGCACTGGAAGCAAGTGGGTGGCAGGGAGAAACAGGCTTAAAATGTAGCAAGGCATTGCCCTGTCTGCGGAAAATTCCTTAAAGCATCAGACATGTCAATTTCTTAGTGGAGGACTGGGTTCTCAGCCAAGTCTAATCAAACCAGAATTTCTCTCTTTTCAGGAAAATACTTGATCACGCAGCACACGTGACTGTGAACGCACTACACATTTTTTACGGGTAGTGCACAGAACAGTAAGGCGCTTAATGAACGTTAGCTACTTTATATCATTTTGCCCTCATTGTTCTACAAAAATGAGTGGAAAATAGAAAATTGATAACATTGGTATTAGTACTAAGAAACATGGCTCTCAGAAATGTAACACAATATTAAGAACCCAGAGGGAGAACATGGAGCAGACAAATCAGTGGATTTGCAGCCTCATGTTGATGCTTACTGACGTAAGCTGACCGACCATATCCATTGGTGAAGGAAAAGAATAAGATGAAAGAACACGTACAAAGTAAGGGACCCATATCATCAAAGATGATGCATGACTAGAAATTCCACTGTGTTTCTGCAACTGGGAGGAAGCCTCCCCTCCTTCACCTCTTATGACATTTAACTTAACACATTTTCAGCAGGTCATTTGTATAAAAGCTGGACAGTGACTAAAGACACCTGATGTCCCCGAGCCTCAGCTTCTTGATCTGTAAAATGGGGATGATACTAATAGGATTATTGTGAGACTTGCACTAGGAAATGTGTGTGAATGTGTGTAGCAGAGGGTCAGGCCACCAGTGGGTGCTCAATATGTTTAACTCTCTTCCCCACACCCAGTTGTTGGACATGGAGGGATCAGCAGGCCAACTTTAAGGGCCTCGTTTGCCAGTGTTTGCCGATGTTCCTACCATTTCCCCAGTCTGTCCACGGGCTTAGGGATGGTGCTGAGTAACATCCTACACTTGCTCAGAAATGACTTCAATTGTCTGCAGTAGGTGCAGCTCCCTGGTCTGACATGAGAGTGTTTGACAACCCTGTGCTGCTAGGAAATAGATCCAGAGTGATGAGTGCTCCAGAGAAGGTATGAAAAGGAAGGGAAACGCCCTGAACCTTTGCAGGGAAGAAGAAATAATGGAGAACTGATCCTCATTGAACTGGCCCTGAACTTGATCCTTGGAGAGAGGTGCCTATGCCATGAGCATTTCACCCTCGCATCTATCCTGCAAGCTGGAGATTCTTATTCCCTTTTCACAGATGAGGAAACTGAGGCACACAGGTTCCAAGGGACTTTCCCAAGGACACATGGCAGGACAGGGGCAGAGCAGGGCTAGAGCTCCAATTCCCTGAATCCATCTCTAGTGCTCTGTGGTACTTACCCTCCCCCATCACAGATTCCATGGCTCTACCCCCCTGCTCATGGCCAAGGATTTGGGATGGCTCCTCTGGTCCTGCTCTACCCCTACCACCTACCCCTACCACACAAGAGGAAAGACATTCTGTGTTGTTGCTCTCCCTGATAAGCCAAGCATCTAGAAATTCTGTCTAAGGTCACGGGGGTGTCTCTGAGGACGCAGGACCTTGAATTCCAAGTCCAGACAGCTTGGTCTCTATTTTTGGGAGTTTGTCAGAAAGAAAACACTCTATTCAAGATCTTCACTCATTCATTCATTCCAGTGTGTGATGAGGGCCTGCTATGTATCAAGAGCTGTGCTGGGTGCAAGGATACAATGGTGAACATGATAGAAGTGGTTCCTGTCGTCCTAGGCCTTGTGGTCCAGTGGGGAAGACAGACAAAAAGACGGGCATACAAATAAAACATGTTACTGCAAAGGGTGATGAGGATTAAGTAGGAGTCCAAATAGGAGGCTGAGAGAGAGACTAAAACTTTGGTTCAGGAGTTGCAGGGAGGCCCCTCTGGGGAGGTGACATTTAAGCCTAGTCCTAAAGGATGCAGAGGATGCGGCAAACAAAGGGTGAGGAGTGGGGGTGGGGAAGGTTCCAAGGTAAAGGGAACAGCACGTGCCAAGCCCTGAGACAGGAAATTTGGGCCTGTTTGAAGAGCTAAGGAGGCCAGTGTGGCTGGAGCACAGGGAGAGACGAAGAGAGTGGTCAGAGCTGAGTTTGCAGAGTTTGTCAGCCAGCTAATGGAGGGCCTTGTAGTCATGGGAAGGAGCCGGCTTTTACTCTGAGTGCCACAGGAAGCCACTGAACTTGAAACGCATTGCTTTCTAGCTGTATTTTGATGTTATAGTAAATCTGTAGAAATGTGAACGTCTCAATTTGGACATTCATCTCATGGTAGGCTGATTGAATTAATAACCTCAATTCTTCACCCCTCTCTATATCCATGTGCTTTTTCATGTGACTTTCCAATTCTCAATAAAGATTTACCTGAAATCTGGGCTGGACGTATGACTTACCTTGAAAGGCCTGTTAGCAAATGTGATGCAAGCAGAGACTTGGAAAAGCACTTTCATGTTTCTACTTCCTCTGTCATCATAAAACATATCTGGGCTAGCTGGAAGGAGAAAGACATGGATCAGAGCTGGGACCCAGTCATCTCAAGGCCATCCTACATCAGCCAACAGCCAGCCAGTTCCCATACCTGGAAGTGAGCTTAGCAGAACTGATTAGCCAAAACACAACGGATCACAGGCATGTGAGTGAGCCCAGCCAAGATCAGCCCAGCCCAGAACAGTCTGACCGTGCAGACTTGTTAGCTAATAAATGTTTATTGTCACATGTCATTGAGGTTTTCTGGTTATTTGTTACACAGCATTATAGTGGAAATAGATAACTGACATACACTTCAAACTGAAGCTGCTTAAATCTAAACTCCTGAAACCTCAAAATCAATCATTCAGATGGAGTGTCTGGATGGTTTAGTTCCTTCTAACACAAACTCTGGAAACTTGTATCTTGTATTCAAATCCCAGCTCTGCAATTTATTACCTGTCAATGATTGCACAAAATATTTCACTTCTCTGAGCCTCAGTTTCCTTATCTGTAGGATGGGTTTAATGATTATACCCACCACATAGGTTGTTAGAAGAATCAAATGAGAAAACACTTCGTAGGTGTTAAACACTCTCTGTGCAGCTTTTAGTTGTAATCACCAACATATTCATATATGGAGAACAGAGAATAAAAGCAAAAAGGAAATAGAAGCAGCCTGGAAAGCATGGCCTGGGGAGGATATATAAGAACTTTTATAGAGCCTTGTGTTGACAGTCTGCTGTGGTTAGTAAGTTGCATCTGTTGTAGGGAAGAACCAGAGAACATAACATGTTCCATGGGGCATGACGTGCTTTGGTTGGAAATCACTTTTCAGGTGATGGATTGAAAAGGATAGCCAGAAGCTAAGAAACTGTCAGGCTGGTGTTACCAGCGCCCCAGAGATGGCCTCCCAGGCTGGCATCATCCACAACAGCACAAGGAGGCATCAACCAGCAGCACTCCACTCAGCAGAAGTAAATGGTCAATGTGTCCTACCTGTTAGACATGGTCCTGAGACCAACAGTGGCTGATCTGGATAAGGGTCACTCTCACCAGCCAGACAGCATCTGAGGGTTGTTCCTCCTCCTGTTTTCTGATCCCACCTCCTGCTTCTTCCAAGGCCCTGCCTCATTGATTCCTCCCTCTTGCCTCTTAAAGCCCTGCCTCTCCCTGAATCCAAACGTGCTTAAGCACCCCTATTACAAAACCATCTCTCCACCGGGCCATGCTCGCCCTCCTTCCTTTCCTGCAACACTTCTTCAGAGAGTTGCCTACATGTCCCACTTCTTCCTAACTCTCCATGTTTGCCTTCACTTTTCAGAAGCATTCGATTCTAGTTGTTTCTTTGTCCCCAACAACCAACTGTTTATAAAAGCCCAGAGACTTTACATCCTTAATATCTCTCACTTCCATTGTCTTGTTTGGATGTCTATGACCTTGGTTTTGATACTTTTTTTTTTTTTTTTTAGGAAGTTGCAATAATCTCCGGTCGCTTTCTTTACTAATCTACATTCCATATCATTTCTGAACTCTTCTCTCTGAATCACAGTTCTGAGCCTGGCTTTCTCCTGCTCAAAACCTCTCAGTGGCTCCCCATTGTCCACAGAAATCGTTTGAATTCTCTAGATTATCTCAAAGACCTTCATGCTCTGGTCTCATCCAGCTTTCCAGTTTATTTGCCACCACGTTCATTCATGAGTCCTATGTCCCATCAAACTTAACTATTCTTTATTCCTTGTGCATACTGAGTACTTGAATACCTCTGTGCCTTTGTTCATGCAGTTCCCCCTTCCTAGCAGTCCATCCCTGCAATTTCTACACACCTAACTCATACCAAATCTTCAAAGCCCAGCATAAATACTTCCTCCTCCATAAGGCTTATTTTATCTTTTCAGGAGAAAGCAATCTTTCCCTTCTCCATCCCTAGAAATGGATACTTTTGTAGCTTTTAGTATAGTTTTTGTACGTATTACATCCCTCATATTGGACTAGGACTTCTTGAGAATACAGTGCATCTTTGTAACACTGCAATATGCAGCACTGTGCATTGCACATAACAACTGCCCGATTAGCATTTCTTGAACAAATAAATGAGTGTATTTAAAATACCATTGGCATAAAGATGATAACCATAAGTCATAATCACCAACAATTATACCATATACCGAAGTCATGTTTATCGTAAGTTAATCTAGGGGTTGCAAACTCGGGAGACTATCAAGGCCAAGAAAGTAGTGTAAATGGTAAAACAGGGTTGGGTAAATACAGTGGCCAATGTTACGATGTCTGCCATATCTCATGGAGGCAGCTTCTACTCAGCGGCAGCCAACCGCTGCCAGTTGGAAATGTGGGCCCAGCATTACCAGGTCATTTGATTTTTAGAGCGATGCTAGAAATATAAATGTTTATGTGAAGTCTTCCAGTTTTTAAAAATTGGCAACTAGCTCAATTTTTTAAAGTTGGGCTGCAAGTTGGAAGTGTGGGATTAGAGAATACTGTATTCTGTTTAAGTGAAAAATGCTACTTAATTGACTTACCAGACACCAGACTTATACTCAGTCAAAGATGGCTGGCTCTCCAAGAATTACAGCATCCTACAATGCATTTAAGGCTGGTTCTGGGGTTGATTCAGAAGGCACTTTGTGGCTTTGCCATGTCTAGGCTCCCCATTTCCGGCATCAATCATCATCTGGGAAAAGAGGGAAGAGCTTTCTGAGAATGGGAACCCTCTGGAGACAGTGGCATTGCTTTTTTCTGAGTACATCGATTTCCGAGGCTGTTCTCATTTCCTCTGTCTCCTGCACTGAGCAATCACTCTGCTGGCCTCTGGGCAGGTAGCAGAAAACTCCGAGGCCCAGTCTCCCAGCTTCTTAAACTTCGTATAATCTCAGTGGCTTGGCAGGGCCCACACTCAAGGAACTGAGGGCCAGACAGGAAACCACCATGCTCCCCTGAAGCCCCAGATCTTTGTTTGGCACCATTCTTATAGGACTTATTAATAATCTTAACAGTAACAAGGGGACCATGTATTGAACACCTAAGCTAGGCATTTCACAAGCTTTCTCACAACAATCATGCAAAATAGATGACTGGATTAATCAGGATAAGTTTATGGCTATAACAAGACAACCCCTAAAATTCCAGCAGTTGAACACGATGAAAATTTATATCTTGCTCACCTCACAAGGGTTAGGTCATTTGGGTTAAGAGGGGAAGCTCTGCTCTATGCAGTCATTTAGGGACCCAGGATCCTTCCACCTTGTGGCTGGACCCTCCTTTAGGGTATCAGGATCCTCTCTATTCAGCTGCAAGATGGGGAAAGAGAGAGAATGAGGACAGCACATGGGAGAGTTATATCAACCAGTCCTGGAAGAGCTCACATCACCTCCACTTACATTCTAGGCACCAGAACTCAATCAAGTACAGTCAGGCTGTGTGCCCAGGAAGGAGCAGAAGCAGATATTGGTAAACTCTAGCAGCCTCAGCCATAGTCGTCATTCCCATTTCCCAGAGGAGGAAAATGAGACTCAGAGAAGTTACAGCACTTCCCTAAGATCATATACTACTAAGTGGCACCTCAAACCTAGGCTGGTCTGGCACTGACATCCACTTTTATTCACTGCCCCACTTGGCTCTATTTGCATCTCCTATTCCATCTTGTACTGTGGGCATTAATGAATTTGAAGTACCCACTCCCATAAGACCACTTGCATCTGCAGAACATGTTATTGGCATATCCCCATGGGATTTTGCCTAAAAAGGCTCTCAACTCCCAAATCTTTGGGCACATACACTGCTTTCTCCTAGGATAGAAAAGGGAAAGAAAAGAAGCAGGCCACAAGCGATGTGTAGCTCACCTGTCCATCAAGGTTTACCTGGGACACTCTGAGACTAATAGTATACCACTTCATATTGTTAAATTTGCATATTGCTTCCCCCAACCCCAGTAGCTAGAGACCACATCAAATCTCATACTACCTGAATGCTCCAGAGCTCCGCCATAGACATGCACACATCATCAGTATCTATTCGTGTATTTTAGTTGTTCTCCTTCTTAGGGTTAAGATAGCTTAAAACGTTCGTACAAATGCAACAATGTCAACTATCTGAAGGAATTTGACAGTATAATTAGTTAGCTACAGATAGGAAACCTCAGTGTTACTCTTTCTAGAACTACCTTCCACCTGGGGGAAAAAAAAAAAAGACTTGACTATATGTTCCTGTTACACACTCTTTCAGCACTATGTATTCTAGTGTACTTCCTTCATGACACTCATGACAATTATAATTTTTAAAATTGCTTGTGTAATAATTGGTTTAATGTCTGCCTCTCCCTCTAGACTATAAATTCCATGAGGGCAGAGATCATGTCTTTTTCATTCACCACTTGTATCAGTCAGCTAATGCTACATAATAAACAATGCCCTAACATGGTAACTTACAACAATTATTTATTCTCACTCATATAGCCACAGGTTGGCTGCAGTTTGATACATTTAGGCTGGTCTCCACTGAACTTAACTCCAAGCTGACAGTACTTCTTATTCTTTAGAACCACTGGCGTGTTTTTCTCATGGCACTGACAGAAGTGCAAGAGGCATTGAAAGCAAACAAAGTCTCTCAAGGCCAAGTCTTGGAATTGGCACACAGTCACTTCTGTCCACACCCCATGGGCTAAAGTGAGCCACATGGCCAAGCCTGACCTCAGTAACATGGGGAGCAACATACTCCGCCTCTAGTAGGGACAGTTGCAAAGGGCACAGGTACAGGGATGGGTGAAGAATTGGGAACAATAATGCACTGCATTACATGGCTGTGCCTGCAGTAGACAGCACACTGCACTGCACATGAGATGCTAATATTGCTTGAATAAATATATAGGGTATTCTTAGTAAATTAATCTCTCTAGGCTGAGAAAAAAAACTACTGGTTGGTGAGGATTACCTAATGTGGCAGG